GCTCTCACGGGTGCCCTGCAGCGGCCTCGGGCTGCACAGCTCCTATTTATCTTCGTGGCCGCCCGTGTGCTGGCGCTGCCGCCGGGCGAGCCGCACCGCAGCCGGAACGCTGGAGAACCGGGGAGCTCCCGAAAATTAAACTTTTACAATGGATCATTCTTTTGATTGCCTCTTAACTAAGTATGCCAGTATGTTAGTATGTTAGGCATAGGGCCCAACTTCCATTTAATTTTCCAGTGTCTACTTTTCTGTTATACACGCTGATCTTATCCAAGTATTTTAAAGCCAAGACTTAAAACCATCAGGTTGCATCCTACGGAGACTGACTGATGGTGCACGGAATATTGATCAAATATGAGTGCAATGCCCTGTGTGAACCCAAAGAGTTTAAAGGTCGATACTTATTAGAAATGTGATTATTAGAGACTTTCCCTGTATTGCTGTAGTACTTGATCACTTCTATTATTTTAATCTAAAAGATGGACCTACTCAATAATCACACTGCAGTTTCAATCAGTATCTTGTGCATCATCAGTATTCCTTTGGAAGGAAGTTATTTTCTTCTAGAGGATATGCAGGATGGAGGCTAAACTGAGTAAAGATAATAGTAGTATTATAAGGTGCCACTGAGAAATTACAGAGCCGAAAGGATGGTTCTTAGTATTAGTCACCTGATACTTCCCAGCATAATATTCTGCTTTTGGTATTAAAGCTTTTGTTTGACCAAAAGCTTTTTCCATGTTGAATGTCTGCCTCATTTTTGACAAAAAGCCTTATTTTGACCAAAGATTACCAAATAGCTCTGCCAGTTCCAGGAACAAACAATGAATGAAATGGAAGCTTGGAAATCATGTTACAGAAATTTGAGTTTCAGTATGAAATTTGTATAGCCTCTTACCACATTTAGAAAAGTAGCAATATACATGAAATGCTGCTATGGAAAACAATCATATCTAAGCCCACTCCAGCCACCAGGATAGGAAAAAATACATTGTTTAGACCACATGAGAAAGAAATGGCTTGAAAAGCTCTGGCTGCTTTAAGTAGAATCTTGAAATTGGATAGAAATAGACTATTTATTTGATACCTCTTTCACTGTAAAGGAACAGCCACCTTACAAGGCTTTGAAAGATTCACAATTCAGATATATTCAGTGATCATTTCAGCAACTAAATTCAGAAGCCAAGTTCCTTGAAGTTGAGGAATTTAAGTTCCTTTAACTTAAGGAACAGACAGGAGTTTAAGTCCCTGAATGCAACAGGCATACTCTGTTCCATACCCGAACGCGCCATTCTGCTGTTGTGAGTCTGGTATGCCTTGGGCATTTGAAAAATCCTGCTATGTTTACACAGATAGCTTTGTTTTGAAAACTCCCAAAAGTGCCTGAAAATGATTTGCATCCACAAAGTTTGTATTTCTCCAGTGACCCTGAAACAAGCTAGCAACAACTGTGAATCTAGATAAGATCATTCCAGCTATATTGATTAAAAACGTTGTTCTATGAAGAGCAGGCTATTCATCTTCTGGGCTGGAGGTTCCTCACCAGGCCACTAGACCAACCGCATGAAAGTTAAAATCACTAAGCAAAATAATAAACAGCATAATAGAGAGGGAAGAGACAATCTTGTTCATGCTACAGTAAAGGTCAGGTTAGGCATATTAGAGAAGCACTTGACATAATATTAAGCTCCTAATCTTTTAGGAATCTATTACATTTTCATACAACAGATTTGAACAGGGTACAATGCATAAGGAAAGAACAAACATTAAAGTACAGAGAGAAACTAGAATCTAAAAAGCTACCTGTGAAATTAATCCCATTTTGCCAACCAGAGATTCCATGGCATAAATATTATATATGAAAACATCGTAACAATCATGGCAAAAGAGGTTGCATATTTAACGTTACATGCCTGGTGCAAGAGATTTATCCAGAGTATTTTATATAGTCATGCTGATAAAAACATCGATGGGCAAAAGCTTTGTGAAAAAGCATCCCTATCTGGATTTAACATACCAGCGGGAAGGATGTGAAAGAAAGAGCTGCTATACTCAACTGCTGTTTGAGTCGCCAAAATAGCATCTATGTTAGCCAGATGCCACCCAGCAAAAAACAATAAATAGATTGACTTTCTGGGAGGAAGTGTCTGACAAAGACATATGGAATAGAAGACAAAGAACAAAGAATTTCTTTCTGATAGAAATGCATTTGCCATATTTATTCAGAGCTGGTCAAAGTATTCAGAATGCACTGGAATGATCCAGTAATTTCAACACAGAATGCCTGAATAGCCTAACACATTTCAAGACAAATAAAAAAAGTCATTCGTTTGTTGGCTTTGAGCCAAGAGATTTAATTTAGCGATGAAGGCATCTGAAGAAGACAAATGAGTTGTGTCTAACAATCCTGTTTGCTGCATTTATGCTGGCTTTCCTATTTCTCATATTTACTATTTTACACCCATTTACTTTCTTAAGGCTTAGAACATATCCTAACATAAAAGTGATTTTTACAAAAATCACCCAACTCAGAAGCATGTACAAGTTACACTGCAAAGGTACAACACAACCTGGCAGGTATACCCACCTACGTGAAAGGTAGTTTTAAAGGCACAGAGTATTTCAACCTCTCTGAAACCACGAGAAATCCAAAGACTGAAGCAGCTTTGCTAACTTCTAATGAGAAAACAAGACACTGGTAACTAGCGCACGGAAACATGTCATTTCCTAATACGCTAAGCTTCAGCCTGACTTCACCTAAGAGTACCCTTAGACGGCGTTAGCCACGGCAGCTCCGCTCCAGAGGTCTGCAGCGCTGACACGCGTCAGCAGGCCGGAGTTCAGACCTCCCGTTCGTGCTAACGCTCGGCAAACCGGCCCGGCCCGGTGCGTACGAGGACGGACAGGAACAAAGCCGGCTGCTCCAGCCCCACGGAGGCTCCTGCGTTAATGGTTTACCACAGAAGCTCCCGTCCTTGGGGCGGGTTCACCGCGAGGCAGC